GGCCGCAGGGCGCCGCTCGACCCGGCTGCCGGCCCGCCGCGTCCCCGCCTGCGCCCGCCGCCCACGGGGTCTCCAGGCCCGGAGAGTCGGTGCGCGGAACCTAAAGTTGGTTACGGGGGGCGCCTGGGCTCCGAGCCGGGTGGTCCTTTGGCCAGTTTGGGGATTGGCTGGACCACACGGCTTGGGTCTCCTGAGAACAAGCCTTCCCGTTAACTAGGACATCTGCGGGTACGTCCAGGACGAGTCATCATTGGTCTTGGTTGGTAAATACGCCCTGGGACTCCGTGCTGGGGTGGAAATGGCTACCGTTTGGCCCGCCGTCGCTTCCCCGCGGAGCAGTTAGAACCTCAGACTGCTTCACAAATCACAGCACTAATGAGTGTGTCTAGGATTATGCTTTGGAGGAGGTGTCTGAGAGAAAATTTAGGCACAGAGTGGGAAGCTGGAACCTGACCCCACCACCAGCTGGCTCGAGAGTGACTTGAGCCCGGGCAAATTGCTAACGTACACTGCCTTTCAGTTTCCATCTCTCCTAATTACATGCATAGACTCAATCTTTGACCTAGTGTAACAACCTTCTGGTCTCCGATGTCATCAGTACCCGGTTCCTGGTCACTTGCTGGATCCGAGAGAGAGGTAGCAACAGTAGATTACAGTCCAGTGAAAGATAACACATAAATGTTTTAAGTTATATTTATGAAGTTAAGGTTTATTTGTAGGTTGACAGTATCAGGGGGATCTTTATCGCAGGAGAGTGGCCAGGCTTCAGCGGAAAGGAACTCTGGAGTCTCTCTTCATTGAAAATTCCGGTGGGCAGACTTCATGTGTGGTGGGAGCTGGGTGCAGGGAAATTGCAGTCAGTGATCTCTGGGGCAGTTGTGTGGTACTGGGAAGTCCCCCTCAGGCTGGCTTCCCTCTGGGTGTGAAGCAGTCTTGGTGGAAGAAGAGAGACTTTGTGACAGTCCTGGGCCTGGCTGTGTCATGTGGTCATCCCATTGGTCGGGCCGAGGTCTCATGATCTCATGCCATGCCATCACCTGAGTTCTAAAGACTCTGCATGGGAGTGAGGTGCCCAGGGGAGAGGAAGCAGGCCGAGTATGTGCTGGGCAGCGACCTCACAGATGTGAGACTGAAGAGAAACCCTGTGGGGAGAGGTTGCATTTTTCTTCTCACTTTGAGTTAAGGATCTTCATCGATGCTTGCTGGTTTTGACCTTACCCTTTTTTGTTGTTGTTGTAACCAATACACCTTGTATGCCTTGAGACACACTTTGTGCTGTAGACACATTGCTTTCCATTTTGATTCCTTTGTGCTCCCCACTTCCAACTGTTGTATTTAGGTGGGGGAAAATTGAGAGGAACAGTGTTATCTGGAGGGGAAATGAGAAACCTGTTCTGAATGAGGCAGGGGTGCGTAGCTGGGGAGTCCTTTCCTGTTTATGAACTGTTTAGTTGAATTATAAATGTGATTTTATTAAAGATTAGCTTTTGAAATGAAGGACGAGAGAGAGAAATCTGCTCATGACTGAACCAGCAGGACCCTTTTTATTTCTTACTTGGTGCATATGTTCGTTAATCTTCATTAAATATCCAACCTGGCTCCTTAACTAACCCCAAACTCACTTGCGTTTGAATTGTCCAGTGAGTTACTTTGCATATGGGAGAGTGGTAACTTCAGGGTGAACAAGTCCTGGGTGGTGATTCTGCTAGTGGGTTGCTGTGTTTGTTGCTAGGTGTTGGCCTATGGTCAGGACATGGTCCATTTAGCTTCTGGGGCTGGGAGCTCAGGGCAGTGCTGTGTGTGTGGGCAGCACTCCCTGCCTTGGTAGGACCCTGTCCTGCCCTTTGTGCTGGTGCCAGGCCCAGCAGCCCTGGGCAGAACCAGGCAGACAAACCTGACCTCTGTGGGGCTGGAAGGCCCTTGTATAGTGTGGTGTTGAGTTATGTGGGGATTGTAAGTGAATGGCAGTGTTGGAGGTGGTCAGAGTGGGAAACCAGGGTGGCTTCTGAGGAGTTGGCTCTTGAGCTAGGCCTCCAGGGCCTGGGTGCATTTCCCGTCAGCAGAAGCTGGGCTAGGATGCAGCCATGAGACTTCAATGAGGAGGGGGTGGGCTGGGTAATAACTCCCTTTGGGAGTTGGAAACTGGGAAGGCCACTGAGATATTCTGTGGAGGCTATGACAAGTGGGGAGGCATTGATGCTGTTTGCTTAGTGATTGGATCTGGAAGGACTTTTGGCAAGGAGAAAGTTAATCTGACATGAATGTACAAGGTAGAACGAGATAGGAAGAGACTAGAAGCTGGGAGACCAGTCAGGAGGCCGTTGTGGTCCTGAATTCAGATGATCGTAGTGGGAAGGGGAAGTAGGGTTGAAGGAGGACCAAGCCTACCTTCTAGGCCCTGGGGACAGATAGTGAGCAGAAGCAGAAGCAGGCTGCTGCACCCCTAAAGCTGGCATTTGGTCAAGGAGACTGACTAGAAAAGTACTACAAAGAGAGAGACACCAGGTGAAGGGGCCAGGAGTCCAGAGATCTCTCTGATGAGGGATGTGCAGGGGATGGAGGGAAGGAGGAGCCAGTGTGTGGCTGTCTGTGGAACTGCAGTTGCAAAGGCCCTGACCACAGGTCTGTACCTGCTGGGAGGTCCAGATGGAGATTCTTAGGCTGATGTCTAGGACTATTCTCATTGACGAGTTTGGTTAGAGTGTGCTGTGTGGGGCGGCGTGGGAATGCTGAGTGGCAGAGGGGATGGTAGGAGGAGGAAAGAAGGCATTGAGGTAGCAGGTCTGTAGCAGCCAGTCCAAGGCAGGATGGGGTTAGCCCCTGTTCACTGCCTACATCCGATAGGCCGCCTCCTAGCTTACACATCCTTAACGGTGCACATCCTTATGTATGCTTTGCCCTCTGCCATGTCTGAGTGGTGGTTTTCACACTTTATTTTTAGCAGCAGAGGCTTTTTGCCTTTCCATCCTAGATTATGAGACTCCGGTATCCCCTATCCCTGTTCCTCTCCTTAGCCTCTGAAGCACAGCTGCGGGGCTCTGGGGTCCTCTGATCCAGGTCACCACCTCACTCCTAGCTTAGGAGTGCTGCCCAGCCAGTACCATCCCATCTGTCCATCCTGTACTAAGCCGCCATGATGTCCTTTCTAACAGAATATTCGGCCTTAGACCCTTCTGGGCACACTAACACCTTAAGGGGAAGGTGCAGACCCAGGGTTAACTGGGCCCTGCCCCTAAGTAGCCACAGTTCCATATTTCCATGTCTGCTTTAGCCCCAATGCACTGACCCAGTGCCGTCCTTTGAGCACTCACAACTCTGTCATCCTTGGCCCCACGCATGCCTCTGAGTCTTTCAGGGGTCGCTATCTCTCTGGCCTTAGAGGGCCTCCTGCTCTGCTTCCTATTCCTCCTACTCATGACCACTGTGTGCTTTTGGATGGAGCCCTGCTTACGGTGTGTGCTGGTTTCCATGGTGTCAGGAACCATCAGCATGGCCTCACGTACAGAGCTGGGCATGTGCCCAGGCCACTCAGAACTGTTCTGTCAGGCCTCAGTGCACCCCTTCCCAGGACCCTTTCCATCTGAGGTCGACTTCTCTGCTTAAGTTCTTTGAGGGGAGGAGAGGGACTGCAAGCTGTCTTTATTTCAATCTGTATCAGGTGCTCAGTAAATCTGTGTTGCATAATGAAGGTGGTGACAGGTAGAGATGAGGATCTGAGACCAGCAAGGGGGGTGGGCAGGGTGGGGAGCATGGGGCAGGTTGAAGATCATGGATTAGGGCAGTTCAAGGCACCCTTTGGTTTTGATCCTGGGTGACTAAGATGAACTGTACATGTTAACATTAGGGGCCTGATGAACTGGGAAAGTTAAGAAATGAATTAATGTAGACATTAAGGCAAACAGCTGCTAAAGCTGGCTTTGCGGGGGAGGGTGTGGTGGCAGACCTCCTGCTCTTGGTCACCTGTGCACTTTTTCTTAATAGATGAGCAGCAACAGCAGTAAGAGAGCTCCGACGACGGCCACCCAGAGACTGAAGCAGGACTACCTTCGGATCAAGAAGGACCCAGTGCCTTATATCTGCGCTGAGCCCCTCCCTTCAAACATCCTTGAATGGTGAGGCCCTGCACCCCTGCTCTGGCTGTCAGTACCAGGCTTCTGCTACTCTTGCTGGGTGCGTTTCGTATTCCCGGTCACAGTGTAGAGAGGTGCTCGCCCTCCTCTGGTGTGAGTTGGCATTTGGAGGACTTAGTATGCTTAGTCTTCTTGGTCTTCTTTGAAGTGAATAGCATATTGCAAAAACAGCAAGGAAGCCACATGTTCTCACCTCCTCTAATCCCATAAGAGGAAGACAGGATTACCAGCAGTAACACAAGGCCTATTCCTACAAGGCCAGACATGCTGCCTCCCTCCAGCCCTTTCTCCAACTGTTCCTCCCAAAGCACCACCACCTCTCTCCTGGGTTCGATAATTCGCTGCAGTGGCCACACAGAACTCACAGATTATGGAGTTTATTAGGGAAGCACCTGACTACAATTCAAGCTCAGGAAAAACGCTCAGTCTCTCTCCCAGCCCACCGTCCCTCAGCCAACAGTCTCTCACAGTCTCTTTCCCAGCAGTGCTGGTCCCTCGGTGTCTCACTCAGTGATGCGTGTCTCTTGCGCCTCTTTCCCTGCAGCACGTGTCTCTTCCTGGGGTGCGTGTCTCTTTCGGCAGCACATCTTCCTCAACCAGCAGTCTGAGAGAGTTCTGCCTCTAGGAGGCCTCCTTTTGAGCCCGGCAGGGTGGTCAAACCAGCCAATCATAGCATCAGAACTCTAAGCACCTGAGAGAGAGTGGGCACCTCCCAGAACATTGTTTTGTGCCACTCCCAACAGAAATACTCCAGGTGGACACCTTCAGCAATCAAGAGCTCCTCAGTTGCTCATAGCAAATCCCACCTTGGAGTTTACAAACTCTTATGGGTAGAAAAGCCACACAAAGTAATTTACTACACTGCACATACAGGGGACAAAGAGAGCCTTTCCTGGAGAAAGCCATGGTTGTGGCACTGGAGGGGAGCTTTAGGGAGTGCAGGCCTCTGGTGGGCTGGGTCTCACCACTGTGGGTCAGTTCACACCTGTGGAGTTAGTACTTAGAGGAGAAACTACATTTTCGGATGACCACTGCTCCCTTGCTCCAGCCTGGCTGCCTCGCACAGAGTAAGCCTACTGGCCATCCTGCCTAGAGCATTTGTGGCCCAAGGAAGCAGGGTCTTCCATGCTAGCTCCTGGCACTGGACCAGCCTCGACCCTGCCTCTATACCTGTACTCACGTGGCCTCAAGGGCCCCTGTGCTGTGTAGATGCTTTCCTGATGGCTCCTTTGCTGGGTCAAAGTGGGGGTTACAAGAGCTGCCAAATCAGGACTTTGCCTCTGAGGACTCTTTGCACTGTAGCCAGAGTTACAGTTGATTTTGTGAGAAAGTGAGGTTGAAGTATTGAAAAATCACGTTTTCTTCGATTGAGAGGTGTTTTATGTTTTAATCTTTAAAAAACAAACTTAAATTATTTTTTAATTCTATAAAAATTCTTAATTAAGAAGAAATGTCTTTCAGGTTGGGCAGATACTTAATGATTTTGGGTTTACCTTCCTCAGTTGGCAGAGAAGGACTCAGCCCTAGAAAGGCAGAAGGGGCCCGGGTGGGCTTGGCTAGGTGTGAGTATAGCTGTTCTCCGAGCTCCCCTGCCCCCAGGTGACACAAAATCAAACGTAGGACCTAGGGCGGAGTTGGCAGATGAAGGGGTGAGTTCCACCAGTTCTTTACCTCCTCCTTGATTCATGGAACCCTCTGTGTGGGGACCTCTCCTTCCCTGTGAGTCTGTGGTTGAGGGTCCCCAAGAGCACCCCCACGTTTGCTGGTTTGTCAGGAAGCTTCTTAGGACTTAGCAGTCATCCTCATGGTGAGGAGCTGTTATAGTGAAAGGACACAGGGCAAAATCAACAAAGGAAAAAGGAACCAGGCACAGATCTTAGAGTCCTTTTCCCATGGAGTCACATAAGACACACTGATTCCCTAGCACCAGTGAACGCTACTGTCGACATGTGAAATGCTGCCAGCCAGGGGAGCCCACTAGAAACTCAGTTGGACCTAGCGTTTTTATTGGGTGCTAGTCACATAGGTACTCTCTCTGCCTGGACCTAAAATCCCACACTTTAGAAAGCAATATCCTGCATAAACCACAGCACCATGGGTCCCTCATGTTTGTGACAGTGGGGGGAACCCTCCCAAAATCCATGCTCTCAGATGCCCATTGAGAATCCATCTGGAACACAGGCCTTTCATGGGGTGGTGGTCAGGTCCATGGTATAGCAGGAAAAATACCTTTTCTAGAAGTAGATTATTTTAATCTGAGGGCCTCAGAGTAGGTGGGTCCCCTCCCTTGCTCTGTTGGGCTGTGTGTTGCTCGGTTGGTCTAGCCCAGTGGCACAGGTGTAAAAACTGCACCAGCAGATGGTACTGTCTTAGGGCCCTACTGGTGTTCCATTGGGTACATGCGTGTCCTGGGGAGAGATTACTACCTGGGGTGATTACCACAGTGACAGCTGTGTTTGGTTTTTGGGATTTAGTTTTACTTCTTTGTTCTTTTCTGTTTTGTTTGAAAGTCTGTAAACCCCAAATAACCCTTTGTGTAAGGCCCAGTTTTCAGCAAGGGAGATGGTGGAGTCCAAACACTGCTTCACCTGGTCTGAGATGTGTGGGCCCTACCTGGGGTTAGTTTTTGGCATACGTTGGCTTAGTGAAGATTGTGGGTTCTCCTGTCCCTTGTACTCAAGGACAGCTGCTTGTAGGTCCTTCCTGGCTTTTCCAGGCACATCCATGCCAGTGCCGCCAAGCCAGCCTCACCCACCTTTGTTCTTACATACATGTGCAGTAATTAAGCATGAAAAATACAAAATTCCAAGTACCTCTCAAGATAGGATTATGAAGTTTGAGATTTATTTCAGATTTTAGTAGATATTGATGGGTAGAAGAATTAGCCTCTTGGGTATTATTTTGGGAGCAGCAGTGTTTTAGGGGAACCTTAGCAACACAGGCTTGAGGTCTTGCTGTGGAGTGACCAGAACATTCAGAGGTGGCGGTCTTGTGGCACGGAGACCACTGACTTGAGGCCTGACTCCCAGCTACCTCCTATCTCTTATTCATTCAGTGTGTGTAAGTGCTTGGGTCTGGCTGGTCATGGAATGCCTAGCCTCAGAGTGTGTAGGTTCTGGAGAATTCGTCATCCCCAGATATCAAGTAATATCTCTCTTCCTCAGGCACTATGTCGTTCGAGGCCCTGAGCTGACTCCTTACGAGGGTGAGTACTCTGCTCTGGGCTAGAGAGTGAGGGGCGGTCTTATCTTTGTACTGCCTTTTGTACTTTGAGTAGACCATGCCTGCCTGGCATCTCCTGTTTGTGACAGTGTTGCTGTCTTGAATGTGTATTATTGTGACAGTTTTTCTACTCTGGATGTGTGTTAAATTGTACTTAATGGAGAGTTCACCTTAGGGTCGTTTGAGTCTACAGGTGTTTGCTCAGAGCCTGTAAGCACCCGTGCCCCACTCGGCCCCTGATATGAGGTCAGTGCTGGGGAGAACAGACTGGGGTGAGCAGTTGCAGCGCTGTGTGTCCTGCCTTCTCCAGGACTGAGATGGATGTTACAGGGGAAGAAGGGTGTGCACCCAGGGTTTGCTCTGTGCTGGTCTCTGAGCAGGTACTTTCCATCTCATGTCAGCCTCAGAGCTGAGGGTGGGCCCTGTGTAGAATGCACGTACGAGGTTCAGGAAGGCTACAGAGCCTCTTGGCAGGGGCTGCTCATCCTGGCCCTGGCAGCAGGGGGTGACGTGTCCAGTACCACCATTCTCCTGCTGCAGCAGCTGATCTGGTGGCATCTAGCACTCTTTGCCATTTAAGAAGTAGACCTTGGAGCTGCCATTTGTGAGTCTCTGCAGGCCACTGGCACATCAGTGGGGCCCAAGTCTGCCTTGGGGTTCTGGGCCCAGAGACAAGGGCTGTGGACACTGTCTAACAGGGCAGGCCCAATGCAGAGCTATCATCTGGCCAGTTCCTGGGTCCTTGCCTCAGGCGGCCAGAGCAGTAACCTCTGTGCCTCTGTGTGGGAGCACTGCCCAAGATTGCCTTTGAAGAGCACCGTTGGTGGAGAAACAGTGTGAAGACCACTGGTTTGGACCGTCAGAGGAGAGTTGTGGGGTGGTGCTCTTCCACAGGTAGAGTGCCAAACGTATCAGAATGTGATGTGCGATGTCCTTGGTGTGACAGTCTCACTTGATTCTGGGGTGACCTAGGGAAATGGAGACACAAGACTGGAGAGTCTCAATGGGTGGTGTCCTGGCATCCTTGAAACTATTGACCACTGGGTAGATGGAGCATGGCAGCTGATGTGGGCTTATGGGGAGGGGCTGTTTCTCTTGAGATCTCATAGACAAGGCTGAGACAGGACGTGAGACAGGTTTCAGGAAAGCTTGTACAGTAGACAGAAAGGCTTATTAAATGCAAGCACAGCCTTCACAAATGTGAACAGACAACAAGCAGGAACAGTGGTTTCTGGTAGCAGGGAACTACTTAAGAATAGCCTCTAATTCTTGTGGTTTTTGGTGTTTTCCAAATAAGTAAAACTCAAAAAAACTACTGCCATCAAGTCAGGTCCAATCAATAGTGATCCCTCCTTGGGTTTCCGAGGCAGTATCACTATGGAAGTAGATTGCCCAACCTTCCTTCTGAGGAGTGGCTAGTGGGTTTGAACCACCAGCCTTCTGGTTAGCAGTCAGATGCTTTAGGCACTACACCATCAGAACTCCCTCCAAATAAGTAGTGAATATCCAGATAAGTAGTGAACATTTATTAGTTTTCTAACCAGACAACCCCTTCCAAACCACCACCACATTAGCCAGGGTATTGATGGCTGAGGTGCTGTTGGAGGTGAGTTTTGACACCTGGATGGACACACACACACACAAAACACACACATGGTCACAAGTCACACATGGGAATGGGTATACATACACACAGTTGGGCATGTGTGTATACATATACATGCACACGCACATACCCTTGTGCACATGGGTACACATGTACTTGTGTACACCCCACACAGGTTGCTAGGGAGCCCTTGCTATTTATGGAGCATGGCCTTGCCATGCTGGACTGGCGGTGGGTCTGCATTTGGACAAGCTCCAGGTGCCGCCCATGTGCAGCGGGGGGGTGTGGCCTGGAGTGGCAGCAGGGTTCTGACCTGGGAGCTAGTCATGCTGAGTAGTGAGCTGGGATCTGGGTTGATTTTTGGGTAACACTGACAGGACTTGCTGAGGGATTGGGTGTAATGTAGGGCAGAGTCATGGACAATGACAGTTGAGACTAAACCAGGTCTGGGGAGGCATCAGCAGTGCATCTTGGATGTCATGGGGCCTATTGGGTGTCTAGGGCAATGCTGAATAGGTGGTTCTCCTGGGACTCTGGTGTTTGGGGGGTATGTGTTGGGGGCAGATGTCCGGGGTGGAGATGCGGGTCAGTGGGATATGATCTACAGCCATGAGGCACAGAGACCCCAGGAGAGTGAAACAGAGTGGGGGCTGACCAAGAGGAGGAAGAGGCCAGGCAGGTGAAGGCATTGTGGCAGCTGAGTAAGTAGAGCTCACAGCCTACCGAGATGGGGCAGTAGTGAGGGTATCCAGAGGTAGGCAGAGGCCTCACTGGGTGACTGGGGAGCACTGAAGGAGAGCTCTGAGGGAGTTCTCAGGGGAGAGTGGCTGTCATGGGTGGGGGCTGTGTGCCCCCAGCCTGGTTGGTGGAGGAGGAGGGGCTTCTGGGTTGGAGCCTTAAATCTGGGGGGTGGGGTGCACCCCAGGGAGGGGCTCCACTGTGAGGTGAATAGGAGGGCTACAGTTGAAGAACCTCTAGATGGCCTCTTCTGCATGAGGGGGAGGTACATGGAGGGGGAGTTGGAGGGAAGAAGAGGGAATAGTAGCTGTGGGGGTCTGCTTGGGGTTGATGTCCTCCCCATGATGCCAGCACCACATGGGGCTGGTTTTACAGGACGGGGGCTGTGCTGTGAGCAGTGTGGTGTGCAGGTGGGCATTGGAGTGGGTACCAGGGAATGACAAGTGTGGGCTGGACCTGTATGCCATGTGTGGACATGTTGGGGTGGGGGGGTTGAGGTCTGAGTTGGGAGGCTGAAGGGAAGATGTGGGAGGGTGATGGGGAGGTATGGCCTTGGGGTACGAGGGCAGTGATAGGCTCTTTCCTCTGTTTCATGCAGGTGGCTACTATCATGGAAAACTAATCTTCCCCCGAGAGTTTCCCTTTAAGCCTCCTAGTATTTATATGATAACCCCCAATGGAAGATTTAAATGTAACACGAGGTAAGGTGCCCTGGGCTGAGCTTCCTGCGGTGGAGCCAGGTGCTCTTGCCCCTGCTGAGCCACTATTCTCTGCAGGCTGTGTCTCTCTATCACCGATTTCCACCCTGACACGTGGAACCCAGCGTGGTCTGTCTCGACCATCCTCACGGGACTCCTCAGCTTCATGGTAGAGAAGGGCCCCACGCTGGGCAGCATCGAGACCTCAGACTTCACGGTGAGGAGGTGCCCTTGCAGGGGGTCTGTGGAGGCTCTTTGTGTTTCTGACACATAGCTGTACCTCTGTAGCAAGCAGGCGGCTGCTGGAGGAAGTCCCCATATCCTCAATACTTGGTCCCACCTTTAAAGACTTGACACACCTTAACCCTCTCTTGCCCTGGGACCCTTGCTGCACTGACCACATTGACTTACCTGCTCAGCTCCAGGTAGAGCTCCAGGAGTGGGGGAGGGGTGAGCCAGTCTCAGTGGAGTGGCTGTGGCAGTGGTCACCTCCAGAGTCATGCATGTCACTCAGACTGAGCATGTTGAGGTGGTAGCACCTATTTCCTTTCTAAGAGTTTATGTTTTTATTTCTTGTGTTTTTTAAAATGGGCATCAGGTTTAATGTCAATAATTGACAGTGATGAAAAGATGAGTAAGTCTTTCTTTGTATGCCTGAGTCAGTGTGTTGTGAAGAGTGGGCTGCTTTCCGTGCTTGCTGCTCTACAAGGACAGCAGCCCTCGGCTTGGAGACAACCTGCTTTTAGTTTTGAGAGTTGAAATGAGCTTTCAAGCTGGTCTTTCCCCTACTCTTTTTCAGAAAAGACAACTGGCTGCACAGAGCTTAACATTCAACCTAAAAGACAAAGTCTTCTGTGAACTGTTTCCCGAGGTTGTAGAGGTGAGGGCCTCTCCCTAGATGCTTCATATTTGCTGCTTTGTATGCATGTCCCCAAGCTGCAGATGCTCAGGGGCTCCAATGCACTGGGGACTGCTCCACCAGGTGTTTGCTTCAGGCTGGTGGGAACATGGGTGACAGGCTGATAGAAGAGAGGCAAGTGGGACAGTTGTGTGCAGATGGAGGACCTGGGCAGTGGGATGGAGCTAGGCAAGGGAGGAAGTAGGGGCAGGACCTGTCCTGGTGTATCTGCCAAGGCTCTGAATGAATGGGGAGGGGAGAGGGGCAGGCAGCATGAGATGCAGTTTGACACTTCCAGGTCTTGGCATGGAGGCTGTGGTGGGGAGGCTGGGCTATGTGATGGTCAAGGCCTTGGCTCAGGGCCTTGGCAGTTGAGCCTTACTGGGTTCGTTGACCATGGAGAGACCATTTGGTGGCCTCACCTATGGGATGGGGTTAAGAGTGCTAGCTGCCTCATAGGACCAGATCAGAATAAATGTGGCGATTGGGACAGTGTGACGCATAGACTGTGCTGTTCACACCTAAGGGAGGATGAAGCACTTCTCTCAACCCCTAGGCAGCTTGCTTTTTAAGACCGATACCTTTCTCCTCTCTCTCAGGAAATAAAACAGAAGCAGAAAGCTCAGGACGAGCTCAGTAGCAGGCCCCCGACCCTGCCCCTGCCCGACGTAGTCCCCGATGGTGAAGCCCACCTCGGCCAGCACGGGGCCCCACTGCTCAATGGGCATGCACCAGCAGCTGGGCTGAACCCCCCAGGGCTGCAGCAGGCCAACCGCCATCACGGACTCCTGGGGGGTGCGCTGGCGAACTTGTTTGTCATTGTGGGGTTTGCTGCCTTTGCCTACACAGTCAAGTATGTGCTGCGGAGCATAGCGCAGGAGTGACAGCACAGCGATGTCCGCGGGGCAGCCAGGCCAGGTGAGGACAGCAGCAGGGCCGTGCAGGCGGGCAGAAGTGCAGCTGGGCACGGTGCCTCGCCTGATTCCCACGTTTAGCTCTTTAAAACCCGGAAAAGGAGGACAAAACCGAAGGGCACTTGGAGGAGGCAGAGCGATTCCGTGAAGTCCTCTTCTCCCAGCGGTATCATCAAGGTCGGGGCCGCGGAGCTGCTTGGAGTGCGTCCGACTCATGGCGCCATCCGACACGCGGGCCGTCACGCTTTGATTTTTATAGCACATTTCCTGTTTTGTCTTTGGACTTGTTTTAGTAAACATGTTTTTCATTTTATTAGATTTGGTCACTTAAAAATATAAATCTCAAAGCCTATCAAGTACTCTGTGTATACCTTAGTCCAGTGGGTCATTCTGATCGATGGCCTCATGGAAGGCTCATGTCCCCCCGTCCTCTGTGTCCTGCCAGTTCCCCTGGGTATCCCGTATCCCTCTGTGTCCTCTTATTTCTGCATGTGTTTTCACGTCTCCCTGGTATCCTCACATCCCCTGCGTCCCCCAGCCTTGGTGCCACTCTTCAGTTGATGCTACGAAGGAGAAAGCCCTCTATCTGCTATGCTGGGTGGTGAGCTTAGTGCTGGGAAGCATTTACCAAATGGTGTCTTCATGGGATTGGGGGCTGGGGGCCCAGTCACCCTTGGGAACGCCCATGACAGACACCAGCTGGCACCCAGGGTGACCTTGCTGTATTCAGGTAGTGAGACCAATCTTCTGGGAGAGAGTTCTCTCTGCACAGGAGCTGCTATAAGGAGCTGTCACTTTGACCACCAGGGGTCGTCATTCCCCAAGGAACACATTTTGTCCAGTGTTTACTGAAGCCAGAGAGAAAACCCTGTCCAAGAGCTGCCTTTGTCTTGGCTGCCGCAGCCTTGCCTCTTTGTCCATCCTCATGGCCAGGACTCCTCCCGGGGTGATCCACAGAGCCTCTTTTCTGAACCTTGTTTGCTGCAGTCCAGGAAGAGCCCTGAAAAAGACAGGGAGGTTGGGCTGGGCTGTATCTACCTGGCAGGGAGGTCAGGATGGGGGCTTTTAGCACCAGGCAGTAAGACGGGCATGGGCTGTGAGCACCAGGTGAAGATATGGGGTGTAGGCTCTGTCTGCCCATGGCCTGAGGAACCCTGGGCTGCATCATAACAGCACCTTTGTAGAAGGTCTCACCTGAGGTAAGTGAGTGAGAGTCTTCAAGATGGTGGACATGGAAGGGCAGCCACTGTCTATAAATCATTGACTTTCTTTGGGTTTTGATCAGTTTATTTTAAATTGCTCTATAATTTACCACTTGTGTGTATTTAACGTGGTCTTACGAAAGGAATCGTTAGATCTTTGTTCCTGACTTTGCTTTGTTTGTCTATGTGTTTCACGGCTCTTGGCTGCCTGTGTAGCTTTGAAAGCCCTAAGGCCCTTTGTGGGCCCGGGATGGGCGCGACCTGCCCATAGCACTCAGAGCACACAGGGCCTTGGTGCCCTCCATCCTGCTGTCCTGCACAGGGTGCTGTTCCCGTAGAGTGGCGTGGCCTCCCAGGGCCTTCTTGAGCCTCTGTGGTAACCAACAGGAAGTCAGGATTAGTGGGCACTGCGTGGTCAGGGGCTACACTCACTCTGCTGTGTGGAGCTTCAAGGTGGCTGCTGCAGTGGTTGAGGCTCTGCCAGGGGCCCCTTCTGCCTGCCCCCCAGCCTTGCTTGAGCAGCTTCTGTGGTGTCAAGTGAGTGCATATTTCCTAAGACTCAAAGCAGAATGCTGAGCAGGTGGGGCTCAAGTACCTGTAGGTGTTCCTTTCCTGGGTGTAGGTCTCTAGTTCAAGCTTTGGGTCCTTAGGGGTGGGGATTTCCTGCACTAGCAGAGCCTTGGAACACATGCTTGTGGCCACATGCTATCCTCAGTGACCAACAGGGCCTCGTCCATCTCATCAGAACAAGTACTCACCTGTTCACGGTAGCAAAGAGTTAGAAGCAACCCAAGTGCCCATCAACAGAAGAATGGATGACTAAACTATGGTATACACACATAATGAAATACTGTGCAACACTAAAGAATAATGTAGAAACTGCAAAACACCACATAACATGGATGAACTTAGAGGATATGCTGAGTGAAGTAAGTCATTCATAAAAGGACAAATACTGTATTCACTTGTGAAAAAAGAAAGGTTTGTATATGGAAGGAAGCTTTCTTTGTTGGTTAGCGGGGAGGGGGTGGGGAGGAAACAGAATGCTGCTAAATAGCATACGAGTGAAATATGTATGGACTCACCTGACCCCATAGAAGCTGCTCAAGCAAGGTTGTGTGTGTAGGGGGGGTGGGCAGGGAGGAGCCCTGGCAGAACCTCACCCACTGCAATATACCAAAAGCAAGTGGCCAACACAAAAACACTACGGAAAAGGAAGACGTGCACAAGAGATAGAGACAACAAAGACATCCTTTTCATATATAATACTGCATTATCGGTGATGACAAACATTACAGGTAAATAGATGGGTAGACAGGCTGAATGATCAGGTATGTCTAGGCAAAAGGGAATATACCCATGAACATACCTAAGGTTGGCAGGCGATATTTCTACATACATATTTGTGCTGTAAGAATGTCCATATAATTGGAACTAATGGGGTGAAGTTAGGATAACTTAGGTGCAATCAGCCACCCTGATGGAGTGAGTTGTTGGACTTGTGGGCTTGGTACCATGGTCACAGGTTGTCAAGCTCAGTTGGAATAATATATTACACAAAAACATTGTTCTAAATCCTACTTTGGTGAGTATTGATGGATGTCTTAAAAACTTGCAAGAAATGTACCAAATGTGAGTGACCCATATGGCAGCACTGAGGATGAGAAACACATAGGTACATGGGAGGTACGAGCAATAAATATGAACCCTTTTGTACATACAGTACTGTGTTGTCAGTGAAGGCTAACATGGGTATATGGGTGAATAGATGGGTGGACAGGCTGAATGATTAGGTATGTCTATGAAATGGGGAGTGTATCCAAGAACATATATAGGGTTGGCAGACAGTGGTCCTATAAGTATATGTGAATGATCAGAATTCCCAGGTGTATAGTAGAGCTGACAAGGGGCAAGGATGTGGTCACTCCTTGGTCAGCCAGCTACCCAGAGGGACCGAGTAGTTGAACCTGCGGGCTTGGGACCATAGTCGCGGGGGACATAAAGCTCAATTGGCATAACATACTATACAAAACATTGTTCCACCTCCTACTTTGGCAAGTAGCGACTGGGATCTTAAAAGCTAGCAAGCTGCTATCTAGATGCAATGATGGGTCTCTCATCCAGAGCAAAGAAAATTGAAGAAAACCAAAATTCATGGAAGCAATTAGTCCTAGCGACTGGTACACCATCTGATCCTCAGCCTATATGACTATGAGATCAGAAGAACTAGATGGTGCCCAGCTACCACTGTCATCCACTTGGAAGGGGATCTGTGTAGGAGATCCTTGATAGAACAATGTGGAACAAAACTCAAAATCATTTGGAGAGAAAAAAAAGGGGGGGGTGGACCAGGTTTGCTGATCCGATAGAGCCTGGTGGAACCACTGAGACTATGGTCCCTAGCTGCCCTTCAGATCTGGAATTGAACCCACACTTGTGGTTTCCAGCCAAACAAAAGACAGGCATATGAGTTGAACATTTACCTCAAGTAGATACACTCCTTGGAGAGATCATGGGAGAAAGGGCTGCTTATGCACAGGGAGACAGCTCAGGGGGCAGGAGTGCATGGAGGGATGGACACAGGGAAGAGGTAACTATGGGTAGGAAGTGGGAGGGGAGCTGTTGCATTGTGGTAAACTGTGGTCAATGTCATGAGACAGAGTATATGTGAACCGCTGTATGGAAAGTGAATTTGCTCTGTAAACCTTCACCCAAATCACAATTAAAAAAAAAAAAAAAACACCTTGCAAGAGACCATCTAGATGCAGCAATGGGTCTCTCCTCATCCAGAGCAAAGAAGGATGAAGAAAACCAAAGATGTGGAAACAATTAATCCAGGGGACTAGTGGACCATGAGAACTTCAACCTATGTGACCATGAGACCAGAAGAACTTGATGGTGCCTGGCTTCTGCCATCAACCACTCGAAAGGGATCAGAGCAGGAGATCCTGGATAGAGTGGGAGAACAATGTGGAGCAAAAGTCAAGCATAAAAAAAGACCAGGCTCACTGGTGTGATAGAGCTTGGTGAGACCCCAGAGACTATGGCCCTAGTTAACCTTAAGGTCTGAAGTTGAACTCACTCCCGTGGCTTCCAGCCAAACAATAGGCAGGCATAGAGGGTGAACATTTACATCAGGTAGATACACTCCTTAGAATGAGCAATCATGGGAGAACAGAAGGAAGGGCAGTGTATACACAGGGAGATAGCTCAGGGGGCAGGAATGCATAGGAAAAAGGACACAGGGAAAAGGTAACCCATAGGGAGGAAGTGGGAAGACATCTGTTATATTATGGGGATTGCAGTCGATGTTACGAAACAAAATGAGTAATGAATTGCTATATGGGAAATGAATTTGCTCTGTAAACTTTCACCTAAATCACAATAAAAATGAAAAAGAAAAACTACTCGTGGACCCATACCCTCCACTGTGGTGGGGAGTCCCTTCCTGTGGTTTGTAGGCCTGCCAGGATTCTGTTGTGCAGAGTTAAGGTGGTAATGTCCCCCTTGGGTGCTCTAGTGCTGTTCCCAGAGAAGCTGTTCCCTTGGTGTGTACCTGTGGACATGTGGAGCTGGTATGGGTGGTGATGAAAGCATTCTGGGAAGAAGTGGAACTCATATGCCAGCCAGGATTGAGGACTTAACTCCAGCAGGTCCAGCTGTGAGGCTATGTGGGACAGTCTCCCCTGTGTGCACTGGCCACTGTCAGAGTCAAGGGCCACAGCCATGCAATGTTTGTGTGGACTACAGCCATGGCCCTTCTCTGGCCACAGTTTGCACTCTTCAGAGGTGTCCATGGGAGCCCACGCAGACGTGCCAGCCCAGCCAGCACACTGTGCCCCTCAATGGCACTATCCCCAATGGCCAGGAGCTATTCAACTCCTCCAAGGTAGTCATGGACTGGGTGCATGTAGCCTCTGAAGGGTGCTGGTCACTGTGGCCGCCACTTCCTGTAGCACTGTTGGACTGGAGAGGGTCTTTAGGCAGGAGCCCCCTCCTCCCTTTCAGTCAGTGGAGAGGGAGGCTTCCCAGCAGGGTTGCATTAACCCTTTGAAGCCCGAAGCCCAGCATGCCCAGAGCAACCTGCTGCAGGGGATGGTGGCTATAGGTGCCACTGGCAGCAGGGATCCTGCAGAAGTGTCTGAGGCTGGCCCAGGTTAGCCTTCAAGATCTCCATGGAATGGCCAGTCCCCACAGGACCCCTTGACAGCCCAGTGGTCTCCTGTCCCACTCCCTGCATCCAGAGATTATGCAGAGGGTCCCCCATGGGCTGCCCAATGGCCCATGCTCTCTCCTTGAACACTGCCCCAGGCCAGGTGTCTGTACAGGGGCCTTGCTTGCCCAGGAAGGCATCCTCTGACCAGGTACAACCACGGGGAGGAGGGATCTGGGGGACTCCTCCCCTGTCCTGCCTGCATCAAGGTGGCAAGAGGCTGAGACAGCAGGCTGGGGTGAGGGTAGTGAGATCTGGGGACCAGCCTGGCCATCCGCTCATGGGCTCTAAGTGAGTCAGTTTTCTTAGTGGAGGTGTGGTGCCCAGGGTCACCCAGGTGGGGCACTTGCCAAGAGGGGCCGTGACACAGGCCGGGACCCTAGGGTCTGTGCCAGGGGCCAGGAAGGCTCTAGAAAGCCTGCAGTGGGGTGTTGCAGGGTCAGGGCTCCTGAGGCTGATGGCTCTATGGCACCCTGTGGCTGCCAGGGCAAGGGGTTATCATCATGTCATCAATGGCACTCAACATGGGCAGGGGAGGGGGGCGGGAAGCTCATATTATTAGCAAATTGGACCTTAGAGCTTGGTGGGTGGGGGCAGGGCAGGTTAAATGTTGTTGACCACGCCCAGGTCCCAGGCTGAGTAGGACCCTCCAGCAGAGGTGGGGGGCAGGGCTGTTCTTAAAGGATAAGAAGGGAGGGCCTGGGGGAGCAGAGGTGCAGCCCCTTTCCCTCAGCCACCACCCAACTGCAGGTCAGTGAGGAGGGTCCCTGGTCCCCGCCCCTCACAGGCGCCTCTGGGGCGGCCTGGGGGCGGTGGCGGCTGACAGATCATCAGCGCGTGAGCCCTCCTCCTCTCCTCGGAGCCCGCCAGGTTTGGGAGGGAGCAGAGGATTTATTTGGCGGGTGGAGCGGGTAGGGCAGTTTACGGAGAGGAGTCTGGGTTGGCGTGGCCAGGGCAAACCTGCTCAACTGAGGGGACCTTGGGCACCACAGGGACAGGAGTCTTGAAAGCTGTGCCATCTCTGTGCAGACATGCAAGGGCGCCCAGGGACCTCGCCCAAACGCAGGGGCTCCAGGCACCCGGTGCTGCAGCCGCCGCGGCCCTGAGCAGACTAGGTTCCAGGTCTCAGCGCCGCACTGAGTACCAGACACTGTCCGTGTCAGGAGCCACAGGCCATGCAGAGCTGGGCATGGGCCGTGGCTATGGCCCTCTTCTGGACACAACTCATGCTCCTTGGGGGTGTTGGGGCCCGGCGGGAGCCCAAGAGGCCACGGCAGCCCGGCCAGCGCACCGTGTCCCTCAATGCCACCATCCCCAACAGCCAGGAGCTACTCAGCTCCCCCAAGGTAGGCACGGGCTGGGCACACGTGGCCTCTGAGAGGCGCTAGCCACTGTGGCCACCCCTTCCTGCAGCCCTGTTGGACTGGGGAGGGCCTTCAGGCAGGGAGCCCCCTCCTCCCTTGCAGCCTATGGGGAGGGGGGCTTCCCAGCAGGGCTGCATTAACCCTTTGAAGCCCCAGGCCTGGGATGCCCAGGGCAACCTGCTGCTTGTGTGTGGGGGGGTGGGGCATGGTGGCCTCAGGTATGATTGTGAATGTGATGGGTGGTGGGGAGAGATCCTGGGCAGCCTTCTAAGTGGGTCACCAGACCCGATGTGGGGAATCTGAGGCTGAAGATGCCTCAGCCAGCCTGCCCCTTGCTTCCTAGTGGTCCTCAAGCTGACCTCAACCAGCTTGCTCATGAGGGAGGCCCCCTGACTGTGGCCCTGCACCCACCCTTTGGGTACCAAATGCCAGGGCTGCTTGATCTCTTTGAGACAAGAGCCCACATTTTTCCCAACCCTGGGCCTCTGCCTTTTGCACTGGGGTCTCCTGAGGGGGTCTTGGCACTGCCCCTAGTAGCATGGGCCTCAGGGTGCCTGGCAGGCCCTGGCCAGCCCTGGCAGCCTTTGATCCCACCTGCGCCGCCTCCCTGGGCGTCTCCATGGCGGCCTGCCCAGCCTCTCGGCCCACGCGACCCATCGGGCCTGAGGCCACGTTTTCCAGACGGGCAGGCCTAGGAGGGTCAGGTTGAGGAGGGTCAGGGCTTTGGGCTGCAGTGGAGTCCTTGGGCCTGGTCTCCAGTCTGTCACCCCAGGGAGGGACAGGGGCTCCCATGTGGGTCCATGAATAGCAGATCCCCTGCCCTGCCCTGCCATGGCCCTTGGTGGGGGCTGCCCTTTTCGGTCTATCTGAGGAGGGTGCACTAGGCCATGTAATGTTGGGGTGCTCTAGACTGGCCCTCCCAGGCATGGGCACCAGTTCTTCCTATCCTCTGCCCCCTCCAGGCCCTTGGGTCCCCCTGAGTTCTGAGGAGTAGGGCCAGCAGGAGCCCTCCATCCCTCAGCCAGGGCCCAGGCAAGAACAGGACCCAAAGGCCATGTCAGGGGCTTCATGGACAGGCTGAGAGCCACAGATGCCTGGTCAGGAACACTGGTCCTGCCCTACCTATAGGGCACCCAGTGATGCTGCTTGGCATCTGGGACAGCCAGGCGCCCCCCTTGGCTGCGACACTATATTAGACCAACCCCCTACCCCATAGCCACCTGAGGCCTCAGGGCCTGAGTTCTCAGATGCCCACATGACATGGCTGAACTTCGTGCGGAGGCCAGATGACGGGGCGGTGAAGAAACGGTGCCGCTCCAGGGATAAAAAGCTGGTGAGTACCAGCCCAGCACCGCCCTCCTGACCCTGACTCTCCCAGACCCTCTGGGGTCTATCATGCCCCTCATCCCTGGCAATCATGCTCTCTTCTCCCTGCCCCCAGCGAGGCCTCTCAGGCCCCCCAGGGCCTCCTGGCCCCCCTGGTCCCCCAGGGCCTCCCGGTGCTGAAATCACCCAGGAGGCCCTTCTTCAGGAGTTTCGGGAGATGCTGAAAGGTAAGGCCACTGCTGCCCTTCCCTGCCCCTCCCCCTCTCCCAGAGCCTGGGGGGCCAGATGCCCTCGCTGACCTGTGCTGACCCTATGCTGACCCACTCTGGCCTCCTGTGCCTTGTCCTCACAGAGGCCACTGAGCTCCGGTTCTTGGGGCTGCTGGGCCCACTGCTGCCTGAGGGAGCAGGTGGGCGGCTGGTTGCCGAGGCCTTCCACTGCCAGCTGAAGGGCCCCGTGCTGGTGGACAAAAAGACATTGATGGAGCTGCAAGGCTTCCAGGCTGTAAGGGGGGAACTTGGTGGCAGTCCAGGGGAGCAGGGGGTGGCTAGGGTGAGAGGGCTCGGGCAGAGTCTGAGATGGTTGTCCGTCGGACGAGGGGTGTGGGGTGTGTCAGTGCCAGGCATGGAAAGTGAGGATGGCCCAGATTAGGGTTAGAGACCCTGTGTATGAAGACCACCCACCTTACCAGGACTGGGGAAGGGTCCAGGTGGTAGCTAGGAGACAGCTAACCCCTGTGGGGGCTGCTCAGGGCCTGTCTGTCCCGTTGGTGTCCCGATCCTGTGCCATGGCCCAGTGTGCATGGACACCTTGCCAGTCCCCTCTTGTCTTCTCACTAGACCAAGAACTGAAGGACAGGAGCCTGGGGTCTGAGGAACTGGGGTGTAGGGTGAGGTCCAGGCCTGGAACCTGAGGGACTAAGATATGGGGTAAGGGCTAGGCCTGAAGCCCAGGGGCCAAGGGACTGGGATTAGGGGTCAAGGCCAGGCCTGGAGCTGTGCTAATGCCCTTCCCTCATAGCCCACGGCCCAGGGTTCCTTCCTTCGGGGCTCAGGCCTGAGCCTGGCTTCAGGGCGTTTCACAGCCCCAGTGTCTGCCATCTTCCAGTTCTCCGCCATCCTGCACGTGGGTGAGTGGGAGGAGCAAGAGGCAGGGGGTGAATGGGACGGTCTCTTCAAGGAGTCCTGCTTGGGGAAGTAGGACAGGGTACAGGAGTCCTGCTTGGGGGAGGGAGCATGGATAGGGTTCTCCTTTAAGGGGGTCCCGCTCAGCGAGGTACGTGTGGGATGGAGCACAGGGGTCCTCCTTGGTGTGCTCTGCCCTTGGCCTCATGCCCATCCTCCCTAACCCTTGCAATCATTCCCGGGCTGGGTCCCAAGTGATGTGCCCTGAAGCCCCCACCCCGTTCCCCATCTGCACCCCTCCCTGGGGGGCCGCTGCAGACTGGGCCATCTCTGCAGACCTCAGTGAGCTGAAGGGCAGGCCCCAGCTTCGGGCAAGGGATACAGTCCGTGTGCTCATCTGCATTGAGTCCCTGTGCCACCGCCACACGTGAGTGATGTCACCCAAGTGCCTCTTGGACCAGGTGCTGGGCTGAGTCAGCCCTCGGTGGGGCCCAGGGCAGGGTTGATTCTGTGGGTCAGGGGGTCCAGGCCCGAAGCAGGATGGGTCCTCAGGACCAAGGTGGATTCAGTCCTTTGGGGATGGTCTAGGTCCAGGGTGGCTGCCATGCCCTCCCCTGTGTCCCTGCTTTGTCCTGTCTAGATCCCTGGAGGCAGTCTCAGGCCTGGAGAGCAACAGCAGGGTCCTCACAGTGCATGTGCAAGGGCTGCTGCAGCTGCAGGTGAGCAGGTGAGGGTCCTGAGGCCCGGGGCAGTGGGCTGCTCTCCCCAGCACCTGCGTGCTTTGGCTTTGACCTTGCATGAGTGGGCCCTTGGGCAGCCCCCCACTCCCTAACAAACACACACATACACACACACACACACACAGAGAATGTCCTGCATGGGACATTCTTTAGGTGTGTTTAGGCACAATTGGGGTGACTTCTTGGCCCCCCGGCACTTGTGACATTATGGGGTGGTCACCCCCAGGCTGGGCAATCGGCCTCCATCTTCGTGGACAATGGCTCCGGGGCTGCCCTCACCATCCAGAGCAGCTCCAGCTTCTCAGGCCTGCTCCTGGGCATGTGAGTGCACAGGGGCAGCTGGAGGAGGAGGAAGAGCTACCACGTCACCCTGCTGTCCTCGCCCCATACCCGTAGTCCTGACAATAAAGAGTAGGTGGCTTGAGCCCCCATCACCCTTGTTGCTGCCTGGTTATTTCTCCACTCTCTGGGCCCACACAGCCATGGGGGACTGGGGGACCTGCTTGTCCAGGGTCCACACCAATTGCTGGAGGCAGTTTGCTGCTGGGCTTGGATGGAGGACTCAGTGCCCCCATGGTCCCCTCAGCCTGGGAACCGGTCCCCAGAGCCAGCACTAGAAGCCTCAGGGTCAACCAGCAGGGAGATGGCTTGATGTGACTCACTGCTCCTGTACTTGGGGTACGGGATGTGTGTGTGTGTGCATATCTGAAACACAGGGGGTGGGGATGCACCCATACCTGGGGTGCAGATGGTAAGTTTGGGAGTGTACCTGCATGTGTGGCACAGTGAGTAATGGGGGAGCCCTTGGGAAGGTTAGGGTACAGGCCTGGGTCATCACGAATTGGCGGCAGGTGCAGGCAGCAAGTGTGCCTGGCTGTATGTGTGGGGCTGGGTGGGACAGGGATGACAGGCCACTGCCGCAGGCTTGTGTAGACCCAATGCCACAGAGTCCTGTGGGTTTGGTACTCCCACCTTCCCCCCGCCCCCTCCTGGCTCCAAAAAATCCAGACAAAGAATGTAAATTGCCCACAAGGCCGTCCAGTGGTCTCTAGCTGCTGAGATAACATCTCTGGTTGGCACCTGTGTTCCCAGGCAGGCGGCATTGGGCTTGGGGGATCTCAGAGGTGAAGATGGAGCTGTTGGTAGTAGGAGGGTCTGGAGACCTAGTTTCCAGTCAGCCTCTCTTCGTCCTGGGGGTGCATGGATGCAGAGGGGCTGAGGGGCCAGGAAGGGGTTGGGAGATAGACTGGAGCTGTTATCCTGCCATGTGCTGGGAGCATAGGAGGGCCCTCCCCAGATAAGCAGCTGAGTAATGAGACTGCTGACTGAGCCAAACCTTAGGCTGTGCAGGTCAGACGCTGGTCCATGCAAAGGACAAACTTACCCACTGATCTCTCCTAGCTCCCTCCCTTCTTCTGGGGGCTGCCTGGAGGGCAGTTCTGCTTCACAGTGACAGCTGCTACCCCTTGGTCTGGATGAGGGTGTTCTAGCAGCCTCCAAGGGGTCAGGGACACCATGGAGCATGTGAGTGGGAGGGGCAGGAGGGAGTCAGAAGATTGGGAAGGGATGACAAACTTGCCATTCCCAATTTCAGCGTCCCGTTGTGATCACAGGCACCCAGGCCAGACAGAGGAATTAGGCACAGACCTGGGGGCCCATGCCTTGGTGTGGTGTGGGATCCTAGGCTCAGAGCCCCCTCTGTACCCCATCAGTGAGAAGGGAGCAGGACCACATCCCTCACAGAAGGGGACACAGGCTGTACCCAGGAGGTCCTGCCCAGGGCATCCTGCAAAGTCTGGGGGCTGAGGTCAGTGGTGGAGGCAGGGCAGAGCCGGGGCTTGGTGGCAAGTGGGGGCACAGATGGGTGTGAGAAGGGGCTGTAAGGTGGGGGAGGTGCCTGGGGTAAAGAAGGAGCTGAGGGTGGGATTGGCCATGGGGAGCACACTCTCCTGGATGGCATTGGATGGGAGCATGGACCCCAGGCGGCAGACACCCAGTTTTGAAGCATCAGGGTTTCCAGGGCTCCTTGTGCCTGATGGTGGCCCCTTGCTCACCCAAGGTCAGCCCCACCCTCCAGGAGCCAGCAGTCAGGACTCTTAGGGGACTTCCCTGGTGGTCCCTCCACATCAGCCATCCCCACTTGGCCCGGCTTAGGGTGGGGTGGTGGTGGAACTTTGCCTCCTGGGGAGGTTGAGGTGCCAGGGACAGGGACTCAGAGCAGCATAGGTGCAGAGCTGGCACAGACTGAGGTGGAGATAGATGGAGCCGTGGCGGAGATGCGGGGGCAGCCCAGTGCCTGTGTGCCAGGACCAGCACAGAGAGTCTGCTATCCCTGTCTGCCTCCTCTTCCTCCCCTTGCACTGCCCTCCCAATCAGGGTCATTAGCCACTTAGCAGTTGATCTCCTGGAATGTCTTGTGTCTGCTGAGTCCCTGCAGGGGTGGGGAGCGGCTGGGTGGGCCTGTCTGGGCAATTGTTGCAGACCCAGACCCAGTCTCAGGCCAGCCCTGTATGGTCAACCCTGGGGACATAACCCCATCCTTCAGTGCAACTGGGGGCCAGCTGCCACCTCCAGTCTCCCCCAGACCCACCTAGCTCTGCCCTCAGCTCTGCCCTAGGCCCAGCTTCCAGATCTTTCTATCTTTGCCTCACCTCCTCCTCCAGCCCTGACCCAAACTCTAGTGTTAGATCCCTCAGGGATGTAGTTGGGGTCTGGAGCCCTTTAAGAGGGGTTCTGGGCCCTGGAGGTGGGTGGAGGATGCCAAACACACCCACCCAGCCTGAGTAGGGGGCCTACCCACCAATGGGCTGGGTCAGAGCTGCTACTACTTGGGGTGGGGCACATGCGGGCTTTAGGGGTCCCAGAGTGCCTTGGGGGGATGGTGGATGTTGGGGGAGAGGCTTTTCTCCCTGCCCTCTATCTCCTGGGCTTCAGAGCCCAGCTTTGGGGTGATTGGAGTATCCAATTGTTTCCCGGCACCCGGCTGGGTTCAGAGCCAGAGTGGCCGGCATGGGGTTGGGTGGCCTCAGGCTGACACGCTGACCCCTCCCTGCCCCAGAGCAGCGGGGGCCCTGGGCTGGCCTCTCTGCTTAACTTTAGGGCTGACTTCCCAGAAGCGCCGTCTGACCCCAGCTGCCTGCCAGGCCGAGGGCTGGGGAGGAGGGCTGCTGTAGGTCAGCGGTTCATAGGCTCCGCATCACTGACGGTGGCCACACTTCTGCCCAGGGAAGCGTGGTCTCAGGGCTGCAGTCTGGCCGTGGTGACCAGCCACTCTCATCTACCAAGGCCCCAAATGAGACTGGTCTCAGGTCTGACGCTATGGCCCTGGGGTCTGGCATGGTGGACATACTTTGGCTTTGAGTCAGAGCTGAGGACCACCACCTCACACCATTAGTGTGCTACCCTGGCTTTGGGTGCAGACAGGAATGTCTGGTTTGTGGTGGCTAGAATGTCCTCAGGCTAGGAGCAGTGGTCAGCTCTCAGGAGCCAGAGGCAGGGCTGGGGTCCTGGTGGGGGGACCTGATCTGGAGTCACAGCCTCAGTGAGCCTATGGATCCTGCTGCTATTGCCAAGCCCCTCTCATCCTTGTGGGCACCTCTAGGGCCTGCCACGTGGGCTGTGGTGGAAGGCTTTCCAAAGAGGCCTGCCCACTCTGGCCTGGACTAGGAGAGGCGTGGACCTTGGAGTGTAGCCAAGGCAGGCTGGTCCTTTCTGACCTCTGACCTCACCCCCCTCAGGCTGGACAGGGGCTGGGAGGGCCGTGTCCCCTCCTCAGCCACTGGGAAGAAGCACAGCCAAGGAAGTTCTTAAGTTCTGCCCACTGCCTGGGTGGTGCTCCCCTGGTTGGCCACATGCCCTGACCCCTGTAACCTGGTTTAGCCCCCCTGGACCTCATTGGAAATTGTGTGTATTGAGGGGAGGCTGGCCCCCAGGATACTTGCAGCACCCTGAGGACAGAGAGCGTCCTGGGAACACTTGGGAGTGTCTGGGGCAGCAGGGACTCAAGTCGGGACTCATCCCTTTCTGTGTGTGTCTGTGCTTCACATTGGCCCATGTGTCCCATGCTTTGGCTACATGGCTGTGTGTCTAGGAGGTGTGTCCAGCAGGCACTGTGTCTGGTGTTTCTGACTTAGGGAGGGACCTGTATGTGAGGTCCCTTGTGAGGTGTAAAAAGGTCATGGCAACATCTTCTGACCTCCTCTAATTTCACAAGGGGGACTCACCTGCCATTGAGTCAATTCTAACTCATAGCAATCCCCATTGGGTTTCCAAGGCTGTAAATCTTTACGGAAGTAGATTGCCCCATTTTCCTTCCGTGGAGCAGCTGGTGGATTTGAACCATTGACCTTCTGGTTAGCATCCAAATGTCTTATCCATTACATCACAAGGGGGAAGGAGAATCATAATCAGTATCAACTGTCTAACGCTAATTCCTATGAGGTGGAGGTCAGACATGCCTCCTCCAACCTTTCTACCAATTCTGACACCAGCCATCCTTCCCATGGCACTCTCTACTTCTCTGCTGGGTTCGAGAATTTATTGCAATGACCACACAGAATCCACTGACCATAGTACTCATGATTATGGGGTTTATTAGGGAAGTAACAGGTTACAACTTAGGATCAGAAACCACTCAGGATACAGTTCTTCAGTCAGGACATTGTAAGCACTGTGAGCATGCCTTTCTCTAGTCCTCGGCCTCTTGGCCCTTTGGGCTCTGTCTTGCTCAGGCAAATGTTACAAAGCTCTTCTGCTCCTCCAGTAAGAGCCTGGAGGCACCCAAATCTAGAAGTAAGCCTCTTGCTCAAAGGCACTCAGCTCTTTTGCTCCATGGCTTGGAGATCCTAGCTCTGTCAAGTGTCCAGAGATGCCCCACTCCTCAAGCAAGCCTCTCGTCCGAAGGTACTCAGATTTCTTGCTCCATGGGGCAGGAAGTCCATCGTGCCATCCCTTGCTTGTGTCCTGGTTCTGCTGCCTCTGCTGTGGCCATTTCTCTGCCACTGCTTCTCACCACCTCTCACTGTCTCCAGTGCTATAGCTCTCTCTCTGTCTCTGTCTCCTTGTCTAGGAGGTTCTCAGTGCAGGGATCCTGGATCCAAAAGGTGTGCTCCACTCTTGACTCTTCTTTCTTGGTGGTCATTTTAAGCTTAGCAGATGGTAAAACTGACCAATCCCCTCATTAGGGTTCCATATACCTTATTTGCCTGGTCCCATCCCCACAAAGGGTGTTCTTCATTTACATTATTAGGAAGCTATCCAATCCCCTTGGAGGGTCACAAGCACCTCATTTGCATAGTCCCACCCAGTCATTTGGTGGGAGGGTCA